CAAATTACGTGTCACATTGTCCGCGATGGGCTCCTAAACCACTTAACCGATTTTAATCAAATTTGTACACCGTGTGCGGTTTGTTCCAACTTGAGAGATAGGATAGTTTTTTTGCCCATGAGTGACCCACATTTTTTTTTGCGAATTTAAGGATTTTTATAGGACATGACAAAAGATCATCGAAAAAGGCAGAACAACATCTGCCTGGCAAGCTAGTACATTTATAAAACACAATTAGCCTTCCTCTTTAATAAGATAATACTCAAATAATATCCAGCCATCAGTTAGTTTTGGAATAAAATGTCCAAGACAACACTGCCACTTAAATTTTTACACGTATAAATAAATAAAAACATTAATTACGACGGCTATGCTTGGAGTTTCTTTGCGTGATAGATTTAGAAATGAGGATATCCACAGTTGTATCAGAGTAACCGACATAGCTAGCAACGGGTTAGTAAGCTGAAGTGGCAATATCATAATATAGTTCGAAGAACCGCCAACCGATGGGTAAGAAAGGTTCTCGAATGGTAGTCTCGTAACGGTAAGTTAAATGAAGGCCGGCCTCTACTAGGTGGAAGTGACGAACTGGTAAGAGAAGTGTGAACTCGATGGATGCAGGTGGCTTAGAACCGCGCTACAAAGCATTCCTGCTGTAGACCTATGTTTAACAGTAGACATGTGAAGGGCCGTAATAAAGGTGTTGATGACATAAGTACTCGTAGTTATGAAATATTTCTCGCATAAATGTACAGAGTAAATCAAGATATTTTGCAGGACAAACTTAAACTATCGCTGTCAAAATATTCTAAAACTAACTGTTACCCTCGACTTAGTCCGCGTGGAATTTATTACGATTGGTATTTAATGGGTTTTAATTTGTTTCGGGGAATCCTAATTTTTTTCTTTTTAATAAAGGTAGCCTAAGTTACTCTTCATAACATTAGATATCTGCCAGTGAAAGTCCCTCCAAAATCGGTCCAGCCGTTTGAACAAACACAGACAGACAAAAATTTAACTATTAAACGTTTTAAGTACCGTATATATATACACGTTTGTATGCATTTAGTAAAAAGCTATTATTTTGACATTACAGACACTTTAATTTTTTATTTACATTTACATTATAAATACTTATCCGTATAAATATATATATATATATATATATATATATATATATATATATATATTTTATTTTATTTTATTTTATTTAAAATTAGAAGTTTTTAAGAAAACTAAACTACTCAGAGCGTTTACGAAATAAGAATAAATGATGTCTCATTAGTAAATAACAACAAACGTTTTCTGTAGTAATTTAGCAATGTAAATAGTGACAATTCAAGACCATCTCGACTCGAACCTTGTGGCGCAGATGCGTCGGATGATACTAAGGAATGTTAGTCAACAATAGTCCGAGGAAAAAGACCGAAGAGGTCATTGAAGTACTTAATATGTAATATATTATATACTAAAATACGTAAGTACATTCCTTCAATGGAAGAAGTTCTTTTTATTCAAATTATTACCTATTTGTGGGTTAAATTATTGAAGATGATTTACCTGAGAGATTTTTTCACATTTTATAATACTTTTCTTTCCTGTACTAGCACTGGATTAGTTTAACGAATTGTCTTGTTGGTAGAATTTTTTCTGCCTATAAAACTCAGTCTGAGTTGTTACTGTTTACAACTTGTCACTCTCTTATTAATGCTGGCAACAATGGATTTATCGTTGAGTTTCGATTTTTTTATAGTTATAATTAAACATTTTAACTGTGAAAACAAACGCATAGAATTTGCATCCCCTAATTTTCAAGAAGACTTAAAGCATTAATACTTTAAAAAAAATGAATAAGTCATTATTGAAATATGTGTGTTACTTACTTAACATATTTTATTATATCTTCTTCCCAATAAGTTTGTGTGGTTAGGCTAAAATGATCATATAGCTTTCGATATACTAATGCGGTATACCTAACCATCTCGTTTAGTTTAGCGTAAAATATCCCGACTGGATGTTTTGTTATCTGTTTTTCTTATGTTCTACATATAGCTAATATATTTATGCTCACTTCTACATGTACAAATAAAATTAATCTCCTTCACACAATTATTCTGATCGATTTAACATTGCTAAATTTCGACTTACACAGGTGATAAAAGTTTTGTGCAAACGAATTCAATATAATTAAAATGAGAAGTCAATTAAATACGCATTATTAAGGATAGCTAAAAACTACCTACTTAGTCAGATCTTGATCAAATGGAATTATATGGAACCACACGAGAAGTATCAGCTTTCAGACAAAAAAAGAGTCATCAAAATCGGTTCACCCAGAGAAAAGTTCGGAGGTAACACATATAAAAAACATACAGTCGAATCGAATATCTCCTCCTTTTGGAAGTTGGTAAAAAAATATTATACGTTGTTTTATGACGAGGCCCTTTGTACAACTTCAACAAAAATATACACAATATTTTTAGGGTTCCGCACTTATAAGTCCATAAGACCATTTTTCTCAATAATTAGTGACCATTTCTATTGAGTTAAAATTTGTCATTAATTTGCCGGTACAGAGTTTTCTTATTATAATTAAATATAATGTGGACATCGTTTAAAATGGCTAGTTGGCTTTAAAGATTCAACATACATATTTCTTCTATATTTTTGTCGCATTACTCCAAAAATGTTTAAAAATGCGAAAAGAATTATAGGTTTGTGGCGAGTAAATTGGTAATCAGAACGGATCTTAACATCACGTCGGGGTCACCAGTGTAAGAGCGTAGGAGTAGGATTGTATGCCGCGATATTTAGCAATTAAATTACTGCAGACCACTAATAACTATCTTTTCTGTACTTTCGTCTAAATTGTTCGTACGTGTCAATAAAGAAATAAATATTGCTAAATATTGCGGCATACGATCCTACTTCTACGCTTTTCCCCTTCTTAAGATTGAAGTTTGCAATTCAAAAAGCTCTATGTTCTTATATATTAAAGTAATTGTTACTTATTTCCATTTGCGTATTTTCTTAGTGCATATCTTAATCACTTTTTTTTTTAAATATTGTACGGAACCCTCGGTTTTGACTCATCGGTACACTTGATATTATTGCTATTTGAGTTCGAATAGTGGTGTAGAAATTTAAGGTCCAAAGTAAGGACGCTTCAAACCGGATAAACTACCAATTTACACTGTTTAAATAAAGGAATAGTAGAAAAAAAATCACTATGAACGAATCTAGACATCTAGTCTTTAATTAAAAAAATAAACAAAAACAGAATAAAACAGGCAGAATTAAGCGGAAATAATCTAAAACACTTAGGTATATACAAGTATTTTTTAAATAAATTTAGTATTTATAAAATTGCCTTAAATTAAATAAATATTTGAGGTTTATTAATACTGCAAACGAGAGGAAACTTTAGGATTGCGTAATCGAAACAAAATAATGTCGCAGTGCTTTCGTAATAATGGTTATTGGGATACCTAAAAGAGAAATCTATATGAAATAGATAAATGATGAGATTATTGTTTCTTCCTTGTACAAATAAACGAAAGCTCTCCTCTCAGCCTCCTTTCACTAATGTCTATTGATTCGCACAAAGATCTTCAACGATGATAAAATAGATCGCATCGTCCGAATACACGCCGAGTGCGGTCAACGAAGTTGCGCCCGAGAGAAAATAAATCTTCAATTGGGTCAATCAAATACCACGCCAGGCTAAATGCTTGGTCTGTCGCGGTTTATGCTTACCTTTCCATTCAATATTGCCAAACTTGATTGTGTTTTCTTATTCTTACATCAAAGCAAAAATACATACACCTATGAAAGTAATTTATAAGGGGTATTTTTATTTGTAGTTACATATTATTTGGCTGTTTTGATTTATAGAATACTTTTTCTTTGGGTAATCTATGCCAACGTGCTTAATACTTTTCATAAGCAAGTATTATATAGTATATACCCACATTATAAATATGCACTTGTAATAAAACAGTCTGAAAATAATTTCAGCAATGTAATCGCGTATCTTTAATTTTAGTAGAATATTCCCATCTTTTTATAACAGCTTTTAGGGTTCCGTAGTCAACTAGGAACCCTTATAGTTTCGCCATGTCTGTCTGTCCGTCTGTCCGTCCTCGCTAAATCTCTGTGACCGTTAGCACTAGAAAGTTGAAATTTGGTACCAATATGTGTATCACGCCGACAAAGTGGTAAAATAAAAATTGGAAAAAAATGTTTTATTAGGGTAGCCCCCCTATATGTAAAGTGGGAAGTGATTTTGTTTTAATTTCAGTTAAAACTTGTTATATTGTTGGAAAGGTATTTAAAAATGAATAGGGGTTTACTAAAATCATTTTTTGAGAATGTCAATAATTTCGGAAATAATCGCTCCAAAAGTAAAAAACAATGTGTAGGGGTAGAGGGGGGGCCCTCTAACTTTTAAACCATAAGTTTAGAAAATATGAAAAAAATCTGAAAAGTAGAACTATGACTTTCTAGGAAAATCATTTTGAACTTGGATGGAAACAACAGTACCCACTACCGGGAGCAGTTGCAGGAGCGCGGAGCGCTGCTGGTGCGCGAACATAATGGATACCCACCTTTAAACTCATAAGTGGGAACACTTATTGTGACGGACGGGAAACTACAGAACCCTACACTGAGCGTGGCCCGACACGCTCTTGGCCGGTTTTTTTTTTAATATCTATTCATAGGTTATTTCAAACGTAATATTGATCAAATAAGCGACCATGTAAAAGATTTAGAATATTCAATTTAAGTATTAAAAAGTGTAATGAGTAAAACACGTGAAACATAATATTTGTTAGAATCTTAGAATAGGTACATAAAGTTCACAATATAGGCAAGAACAAGAAATTATGCGCAAACCATATTCTTGTATTTGTATTTTAACTAGATTGTAAACTTTTATGATTCCGAGGTTCTGAATATTACTATAACAGTTTTAAAGATGATATTATTAATTTTCACAGATGGCACAGTTAATAACTGTGCGGCTGAATAAGTCCGATCAGCAGCCACTGGGATTTCGGCTCCAGGGTGGCAAAGACTTCGGGACGCCCCTCATTGTTCAAAAAGTGAGTAAACAAATTAACATACAAAATAATAATGTTGTGTCGTTTAAATGATATTGCATCCTATTAATAAACTAATATACAAATAAGATAAGTTCCTTATTGGGATTAGGTATAATAACATCTTATTTAACTTCTTATTAATCTTAAGTAACATAAACATACGCACTGGAGCAGTATTTTTGCCATGTTGCTCTAGAACCCTCCCCAAAATGCAAATACCGCATTTATATATTTAATTAAATTATTTTAAATAAATAATAAATAAAAAAATACAACTAAAGGACCATTGAACTAATACATATGAAGTTTATGTATGTATATTCATCTTAGGTAAAACATTTCCCCCGTATATAATATTCGCACCGACCACTCTCAGCGTCTGAGTGCGCTTTGTGTATGGTCAAAGCCTCAGATAGCATAACTGAAGCATGAGATGAGATGAGAACTGATGCTAGAGTGGAAACTAGACAAAAAAATCGGATATCGGACACAATCAAAGTCAACTAAGAAAATAATATAAAAGTAAGTAAGTAAGTAAGTAAGTTGTACGTGGTAGAGCCATGCTGCAGTTATATTAGTAGTATAGTTATAGCACGAATGGGTCGGCTCGACCGGGGAAGGATCACGCTCTCACAGAATACCAGCGTGAAATAGTAGCTTAATGCTGCTGTATTTCGTATGGTGAGTGTAGAGAACCGGAGACCCTTTTTACTGGAAACGAGGCATTCCATCTCAGTCCTCACGGGTGACAACGCATCTGCATTTTGATTTTTAATGGAGGATAGATGTAGATGTCTATGGGACGCAGCAACCACTTACCATCAGGTGGACTGTGTGCTCGTTTGTCACCCTATTCTATAAAAGAAAAAAAAAAAAGTGAAAATCTTATTTGGTTATTTAAACTTGGTGTCACAAAAAAGTACAAAGGCGGACTTAAAGCCATATTACCAATCAACCTATAAATAAGCAGAGGCTATGTTAGAGGTCCAATAAGATTTGTAAAAGAAAGAATTGAAGATCAACAAAATAACCATTAGAAAACTAAGTTAGTGTATATATTACTTATACCTGTACAAATAAATATTCATAAACACATACACATCCACATATACTTATATATATTTCATATATATATATGAAATAAATTGATAAATAGATAGATAAATATATTAGGTATCTACATATTAAATTTACAGCCTATATACGTCCCATTGCTGATTACAGTCTACTCATGTGGCACAGAACTCTTCCGTTACGGAAGGGTTTTTAGGACAAGAAGATGTCCACCGTGCTGCCCAATCGCGTGTTAACGAACTTCTTCTTCTTCAGCGTCTTCGAAATACATAATATTTTTCTTCTGAGACATGAGGTTTCTTAACGATGTTTTCCTTCATCGCCAGCACGTGGTAAATATTATTGTTGAAAAAATAATAAGGCATAAAAAAAACAAGAAAAAACGGCTAGTGACCGCTTTCTGAAAAGAGATTATGGAAGCCAACGCCTCACCGCTTGACCTTCAAAAAAATTAGACATGAAACCAGAGAGCTGGATATAAAGGAACTTGAAGAAAAAGATTATAAACAGAAAGAAAACGTGAGCATCACATAAAAAGAGAAAATTTAATTTTGTACCTTACAAAGGAGTGCGTGGATCAAATAAAATGGAGAAAAGGGTGCGTAGTATCCTAGAAGATCTACTTTGTTGAAGAGGCAACCACTTTAGTCAAGTGTGCGGAAATATGGTCATATTTAAATAAACTTAATGCATTTGTTTAGGAATCGTTATGATGTGTTAATAAAAATTTGATTGGCGTCAGAGTAACAAACATCAGCACAGTCGATTATGGGAAGTACCTACAATGACTGCAACAGCAATAACTTTGAACATGAAGTTAAAAAATGTTTTTGTTCCTCTTCCTCTGTTTTAATAGGGATCATGTAATATGTAATACATTACATTATATCCAATTTTTACAATGTTACATTTTTTTGATTGATTTACCACGTGCTCGGCGGTGAAGGAAAACATCGTGAGGAAACCTGCATGTCTGAGAAATAAGAAAAAAATATTTCGAAGACATGTGAAGTTCGCCAACACGCATTGGGGCAGCGCGGCGGACATTTCCTTGCCCTAAAACCCTCTCAGAAATGAGGGAAGGCCTGTGCCCAGCAGTTGGACGTATATAGGCTGTAACTTTACTTTACTTTACTTTACTATAACGAATCATTTTTTCAGCGCACACCTATCAAGTTTATTTCTTGATCGATTTAAATGAAAATAATACTCAAAATTATCTCGAGCATATATTCATATTAAATATCACTGAAAATCACATTCAAATTTTCGCGGACATTGTTAAGATTTGCGTGCACAAACACAAAGACAAACAGATAAAAAGGTTTTTAAATTTTATTATAAATAGATAACTATATAATATTGACTACCGTTTAGGACAAAAGAAAACAAATGATCAGCAGTACCCTCTGAACACAACGTCCGTGGCCCACGTCCAATCACCAATGCGTTTCACGGCAAAACCTGATTTCGATAACATGAAACATCTCTCTGACACAAAAATTCGTACTGCAAAAAATTTAAAAAAACACTAATGTACATAATAAAGAATACATAATATACCGGAAAAGTACAAGCAAACATGTACGTAACATGTTCAGTTGTTCATGAACATGTTATTCATCTGTCATGTTTTGTCATTTTTTTTTCAGCTGTGCTGTATTCGAATAGGTGATTAGTTATCTTAAGGAGCTTTTACCGCTCATTAACTGTTAGCTGGCCTCGTTAAAGTAGTTTCGACACTCGTCACCATTTAAAGGTCTGTGCATATCGGAGTGGTGCTGAGATAGCTCATGCGACCTCCACATATAAGCCCATGGAACATAAATATAGGTGATTCATGTACATACTAAAAAAAGTAATTAAATAGAGCTGAATTCAATCAGACCTATAATATGTAAGAGGGAAAATATTTAGCAATTTATATATGTACGTGTTTTTAAAGATGTGTAGGTACATAGGTACTCGTATCGCGTAAAATTTACTCGATACGTCTTTGTTGTAACTGTAAACTAAATTCAAACACAATCAGAAGTTTCTTAATAGAATTCCTTAATTTAAACATTATTAAAAACTAGATCTTATTAATTAATTATAATTTAAAGACCTTCTAGTTAATTTAATGATAAATTAATTACTTAATTAATTTAGCTTGTATCACAGGTTGTAAAATTAAAATATTGAGGTACATTATGTAGTTCGACCTACAAAGGCTAAATAAAAAATATCAATTGTGCTTATTTTTTAACCTTAAAAGGAAAAATATTTGGCACCACACCTGCCTAGATGTAAATACAGCTTAATGTTTCAGAATCTATCAATTCTGTCCATGCCATACATTTCGATCATGACGTTTAATAATGTCAAAATAGCAACGGTAATGAAGATGATCTCCTGGCCTCAACGGTACTTTTGCTTGAATAATTGGCGATAGGTTTCGTTGCTGTACGTTAAATGTGGCATACTTACTTAATTAATAGACTTACTAAATGAATTTAAAAGGATATACGTGTAAATATCCAAATAAAGTCAAAGAGTAACTCACGGATCGCTATGACCACGAAATGCGAAGCGAAGATACATAACATACTTATGTTCCATTTTGTTGTTCCTCTTGGAAGGTTTATTGACATGGGGTACGACAATCCGATTAAAAAAAAGTTTGAGATTGACATTTTTCTTGACAGTTTTGAACACTATAATACGAAAAATAGCAAGTGGACATGATTCAAAGACAGATCATATTTATTTGTCAGGTTTTACATTTGTTCATCATCAACTGTGCTACTCGCGTATATACCTAGTTCTTTCAAGGGTAGCCATCCTTACGATTGCACGGAAAACATACACGTCTTGATTTAAGATTTAAATCATGGAATGGCTTATCCCTGATATCGTATATAAACCGAAGTTTGGTCAAATCACAGAAATGTAAATAATATTGCCTTATTATATAGATTTCTGTGGGTCAAATCCACCCTAAATTACAGTAATGTAAGTTTAAAATTCCAAATTTTCGAACTTCAAACCAGCGAAGTATTAGAAAGCGGCAAGATTTTATAATACATAATGGGTGCGTTTGGCAGAAAAAAGCGCTAGCAAGCGCTTGTAAGCAAAATGGCGATCGTAAGCGGTAAGCGCTGTCAAATCGTAAGTAGCTATTTTCCTCCAGGACACGATGTTAGTTTTAACCGGGGAACCTAACCTAATTTAATTATATGTTTGTAAAGTATACATATTAAAAACTTACCAATCATGAATTTTTAACAACATGTATATGTCTATTCATGTCATTATATTACTTAAAACTAATTTTACACAAAACAACTTTAAACTCTACTTCAAAATAAACAAATTAAATAAGCAAAATGGCGGATTGTGTCAGCGCTACTGAAGTAGCAATCGTGTCCTGGCCGAAAACTATTTTAGCGCTTGTAAGCGCTTGCTAGCGCTTTTTTCTGCCAAACGCACCCAATGAATGTCTACGACGCCTAAACCGATTAGATTAAAGGTACGGTATTCCAGTAGGTGGTTGACTATTATCAAGAAATACTCATTAAACTAGAGGCGGACACGGGTGTTTCAAAATATTATAATGATTCTCCTCTAAGTTATTATTGTAGCCACAGTTGAAACGGGAAAGCCCAAATATTACCAGTGACACAACAGTATCAGCTGACGAAGTATTCGATTAACCATTTCTCATGTGTTTCAAGATAATTTCTCTTGTCAAGATGATAATCTTACAGTTTTACGTGATACCTAACTACCCATATTTTTGCGACTAGACGGCCGTCTGTTTTTCTATCTACTTGAAATTTTCCACTTTGCAAGATCTTTAACTTTTTTTGTGGGTAGTACACCGATTCTTATATCCGAAGTTATTATTATAACTTCATAATCACAAAATGGCATTGCTTTGCTAT